ACACACACGGACCCACTCCACTGTCACCTCTGCCCATTGAGGACATGGTGAGGAATGATGTGGAAGCGAAGGTGGCCTTTAGCGCCAGGGGATCACCTGCTAATAGAGAGAAAAGCCACTGGTTGCCCCTGCTCCTTCCCCTCATTTCCCAGGAGTAGCATGTCCACCCTCACCTGTCAGGCCAGGTGGCGGTGGGGGATGTTGAGCCCTGATATGACTAATACACGCATGTGTGTCTTTGATTATGCAGGGAATGTAAAAATGCACAGCAAGTACTGCTCTCATTATTTGATTTCTGAAATAGTTTATTTCTTGTGCTTCATAGACTTCCAATGATAGGGAACATGACTGACTGAGAGTCCCAGTCACTGAGCTCTGAAATCCATCACCACCTTTGCTCAAAGGCCACGCCCCCGCCTGGTCCCCACTCCCCCACCCTGTGCTGCTGACCACTGAAGACAGAGTGTGGTGGGATACTAAGGTACGTCTGCTCCTGGGACCCTGGGGCCCCTCTGATGGTAGACTTTGGCTCAAGGACACTCCACCCGCTTCCTCCCCAGGAATCTTCTTTGGGTTGCACAGGTGGTGAAGAATGCCTCCTCCCCCTCTTCCTTTCTTCTGCACTTCATGTGCGGTCAACCTCACGTGGCTTCTTCCCCTTTTCTCTCACAGGCACTCCCCATGATAAAATCCTTGCCCATGAACTCTGTATATTTGAGTTGGCACCATCAAGAACTCTCAACGATACATAAGAAATCACTAACAGTGGTGTCGTGTGGCAGGTTCTGGTAAGAACTTGTGAATGTGGAAAAGAGCTGGGAAGAGACTTTTCACTGGGCATCTTACACTATAGTTTTGATTTGACCAGCAGGTGCATGTATAATGATTTGAAAATGTAAAATCGAGTATTTGGATGAGAACACACGAATTTGAGGACGAAGAGAGCATGTGCTTCGGAGAGCGCTCTGAGTTTGGGTCCCAGCTCATCTCCGTGATTTCAGGAAAGTTACTGAGTGCTAGTGGGTTTTTTTTCTGTCTAGACAGACATCTTTATTTTGACTTACAAGTGACATTCAATGTAGTAGTTTCAGGTGCATGGCGGAGTGGTTAGGCATTTATATATAACTTATGAAGTGACCCCCAACCCCCCGTATTGTATCCTTATGACACCACACAAACTTATTACATTACAGGGTGGGCCCAAAATGCATTTACAGTTGTATGTGGAAGTTTAATCCTGCATTATTTATTATTTTTCATACAAACAACTGTAAACTCACACTTGCCCACGTTGTATTAGTGACTATTTCCTGTGCTGCACTTTCTGTCCCGTGACTATTTTGTGATGACCAGTCTGTACTTCTTAATCCCTCCCCCTTGTTCACCCATCCCCCGCCCTGATCACAACCCCCCAACCCGGCAACTATGTGTCGATTCTGTGTATCTATGAGCTTGTGTGGTTTGTTCACTCATTTTGTTTTTAGATTCCACTTGTGAGTGAAATCACATGGTATTTGCCTTTCTCTGACTTATTTCACTTCGCATGTACCCTCCCAGTTCCTCCACATGCTGCAAATTGTTAAGATTCCATCCTTTTCTATGGCTTACGGATTCTCAGTATCAGTGGATCACTTTCCTGCTTCAGGGAGAATTCTCTAACCACAAACACTAGCTTCCTGCGGAAGGCACACACCTGCCACTGCCAATGGGCTTGCGTGTGGGACTTGCTGGGGACAGGACACGGGGAGGCTGAGCAAGAGGCCAGCCTGAGCAGAAGCTTTGGAGATCCCAGGCACAGGGCCATCCTTGCCGTCCTTTGCATCTGCCATAGAAGCCCCAAGGAGGGGCTGCTTCCACAGCTTGGGTTCTGGAATAAAGTTGTAGAGACACAGCCGGCCCGCCGCCGCCGCTGCTGCCGCTGACATGCATTGTGAGCTACTCAACTTCTGTGGTCGAAAACCACTGTCGTGGTTCCCTCAACTTTTCATTTTGAAAAATTTCGGAATTAAGTTGAGGAGCTGTACCAACAGTACCTCACTTAGCTTCACCAATCGTTAGTATTTTGCCACATTTGCTTAATTTCTCCTGCTCCCTCTCTCCATAGAGAATCTCTAGTTTTGCCAAACAATCTGAGAGGTAGTTACAGGCATAATGATACTGGGTCCCAAATTAGTTCAACATTATATGCAAAGAATAAGGATTTTGTCCTGTATGACCACGATGCTACTGTCATATCCAATAAACTTAACCTTGAGGTGATAACATTCAGTATGCAGTTCATATTTAAATTTCCTTCACGGTGATATCCTTTGTGAATTCAGGCAAGGCTCATCCAGGCAAGGCTCATCCACAGCTATCAATCGTACGTCTCTTTAGTCTCCTTCACTTCAGAACAGTTCTTGAGCTTTTTTGGTCCATCTTTCATGAAAATTTTTCTTGAAGAGTTCCAGTCAGTTGTTTTGTGGAATGTATCATTTTTTGGCTTTATCTGATTTCTCTTCCTCACGATTCTTTATAGATTCACATTAAACATTTATGGTGAGAATAATGCATAAGTTGTTTGTGCCACTACCAGGAGGTACAAATGTCAAGACTGTCCCATTTTAGTGATGACAAGTTTGATGACTTTGGTAAGGCGGTACCCATCAGGTTTCTTCTCTGCAGATTCCTTTATCTCTCTGCGTTTCCTCAGTAATCTGGGGGGTGATACGTAGGGACTGAAGACCTTGGCATCCGACAAACTTTACCCACTGGTTTTAGCATCCGTAGATGGTCCCCTCCTGAATCAATGATCACACTGGTGGTGGCAGAAGTGTGATTCTATTATTCCTACTCTATGTATTATCTGACATTCTCTGTGTAAAGAAAACTTCCTCTCCACACTCCACCCCCATTTATTTTTGAGTATCACCATGGACTCATGCATTTTTAATATTATGTTATAATTCTTCATCATTATTGTGTTATTTAAATGGTCCTAAATTTGTACATTCAGAGCCCCCTGCAAGATGCAGTCTGGGTCTTTTTAACATGTTTTTGTCTGTTATTATTTTTCTAGCTTTCTGGCACAGTAAGATATTCCAGGCTCGTCTTAGATAGTTACTGCCACTGACCTGATTCTTTTTATTTGGGAGGGAGATTGAGAGAGTGATGTTAAGATTTGGGGAGAAGGTTGACAAAGAAGGAGGCAGGAAAGGAGATTTGGAGCCTGGAAATACTTGGGGGAACTGCTGGCCAAAGTCCTACCGTGGGGAGGTCTCCTGAGCCCTCCAAACTGGAATTTCCTCTCCTGAGAAAGGGGGATCATCATGCCTATTGTGTGAATTGGTTGTGAGAATTAATGTACATAATTGATCGACATAAGTTCAATATTTGTTGGACATTATTACTAGCATCCTTCCAACAAAGTAAGTTTCTGATACTTGTGACTTTCAAATACTGCTCCCAAGGTGATTTATGATAAACTTGCTTAAATTTATGTTCTGAGACTTTGTTTAAATATCACTCTAAACGTTCTGAAGGCAACTAGATGGGGTTAAATGGAGACAGCCTCTAAAACGCTGGTATCACAACGAGCTTTCTGCGGAATAATTGCATGCAAATTTAAGGAGAAAGCAAACACCACACACACACATACTGTGTGTATCTGTCTCTCTTGGTTTGAAATAGGATCACAAATGAGAGGTGGCTCAGTGTAATGTGGACTAGATTTAAATCCAAGCCCGGCCTCTTACAGTTCTCATTTTAAAAGTGAGGATTATTACACCTTCCCTTGCAGTTGTTGTGAACAAAAATTCAGGCCATGGAGACTGATCTAACTAGGCATGAGATCTTTTAAAATTCCAGTTTTATCATTGACATACAACCCTGTTTAGGTTTAAGGTATACAGCACAAACACGAGGTACATGTTGCAAAGTCATACATACAGTATGTGTAGTTAACATCCTGATGGAGTGTAGTTAACTCCTGAAGGAGTTTAACATCCTTTTAGAGTTATCAAAATTTTTTCTCCCTTGTAATAAGAAGTTTCAGGATTTAACTTTCTTAGCAACTTTCAAATATACAAGACAGCACTGTTAATTTCAGTCACCATGTTATACACTGCATCCCCACTGCATACGAGTACTTTTATCTCGTAACTGGAAGTTTGTGCCTTCTGACCATCTTAGCCCAGTCCCCCCTCCACCTGATTTCTTATAGCATTTGTTCCTTGGCAAGTGCTTCCCCCTGGTGGTGGTATATTCCCACTGCAAATCAAAGAGTAGAGGAAAAAAGCCACCGGTTGAATTTGCACATTCACACGCCTCTAGAAAATGCACACCATTAAACAACTTCGAATAAAAGCATTTCCACACTTTACCTATGGAATTCATACTTCAACAGCAACAACATCCCAGTATGGCAAAGGAAATGCTGCTCTGCAACATTTTGCAAGGGCATTAGTTCGTTCATTCATTCATTCATTCATTCATTCGACAAATATCTATTAAGTGAACGAGACACTAGGGCTAAATAAATGGGAGTACCCGGACGCAGACCCGCTGCAGCCGACCTAAAAACTCACCCTTGAGAAACCGAGACTTTAACCACGAGCTAGAATATGTCATCGGCGTGGAGAGCTGGGCTGACCTTGAAAGCTAGAGTAAACGGAAGCTATCCTTTCCCAATGTTTCTCCCCACAAGTATTCTTTACGATAAGCAAGGGCTTCGCCCAGTCGGCCAGGCTCGAACCCGCGGACGACGGACGGTGATGACGCGTGTCTGGCGCAGCTGCTCCAGAAGAAACGCTGGTTTCCTGCAGGGTCTGAGGGGCGGAGGGCCGGCCACCCCAGAATCTCTTAGGGGCCTCGCCCCGGCTTCGTGGCCCAGCTTTAGATGCCACACTTCCGGCGATTGCACGCCGGAGAGCCGAGAACCCGCCTCCTGCGTGCGGCGCGCGGCCCCAGCGCCGAGTCCGGAACGGAACTGTCCCGCGGAATCCGCGGCGCGCACTCAGAGTTTCCGGGGGGCGGAGGATAGAGCTGGACCAGGTTGTGCCCGGCGGTACCTACGGCCGGGACCGAGGCAATGGCTGCGGGCGTCTGGGCTTTGCGGCTCTGGCGGGCGGCCCCAGGTGGCGGGGCTGGCCGGCGTGAGTTCCGACGGCCGTGGGGACGGGCAGCGAGGTTCCGAGGAGGGTGTCTGCCCGGAGCGGGTCGGGGGCGGGTCCTGGGAGGTTCCACGGGGCTCAGGCTGGGAAGGCTCTTTAGGTCTCGGTTGCAGCCGCTGCCCCCTCCGGGCCAGTGGCGTACAGATGCCGGGACGTTAGCGGGTCTGGGAGGTAGGGGCCGGGTCACTGGAGGAGCTTGGGGGCACCTCTGGGAAGGAGCCCATGTCTCGATACAACGTATCTTTTTTTCCCCGTTGGAATACTCGTACTTGCCTTGCCAAATCCCGTTATTTGGGGTTTGTTAAACAGACTCAGCATTTCTCGCCCTAGATATTGGTAATTTTGGCGTAGGACCTCCGATCTCCTGGAGTTTTGTTGTCCCCAAAATCTCATCAAAGCGACGCTTTTACTCACCTCCCCAATGGCTGCTCTAGTTTTGACCCCACTTCCTGATTACTTTTTGCCTCTTATTGTAAATCAGACTGGAATACGGCTGAGGAAATCAGTGGGAAATAGAGCTCTTTTGGTGCAAGCGCGAAGTTGAATTAAAGGCTTGGATCTTGGCTAGTTGGCATTTTAATGATTCATATTACAAAGCGGTTCACCTTAACTGCTGAACGCTTTTTGACGAGCGGCTTTACAATTCTGTCGCTTCCTTTCCTTGTAGGAGGAGGGTGATGCGAGTGGGAGTAGGACAGCATGGGCTTGGCACTATATCATTTCTTTAGCGTTCATATTTATTGTCATTTCTACACAGGATTTATAGCAACATCAGCAGCTTCTGAGCTGTCACGGAGCCAACTGGTAGAAATGCAGAATGATCTCTTTAATAAAGAGAAAAACAGGCAGTTATCACTAACTCCCCGGACGGAGAAGATAGAAGTTAAACACGTTGGGAAAACGGACCCTGGCACTATCTTTGTGATGAATAAAAACATTTCAACCCCTTACAGTTGTGCCATGCGTAAGTAACCCGAATCCGGATGCCGTTTTGAATGTTTTTACCTAAGCTGTGTGGAAGGGTGGGTGCAGAGGAGACAAGGTGCTGTAACTGCCCTGCGTGTTCCAGAAGGTCTCCTCTGACTGGCATCTTACTGCCTGTCCACTGCCGCTTTAGCACTCGAGGGTACAATGGTTCTTGGAGGGTTGGTACTGTAATGCAGGTTGTGCTGGTATTGGTTTGAATATGGCTAAATATAGGGTGCTATGATTGTTTTGGGGAGAAGAAGGCAGACCTGAAAACAGTGCTACTACTAGCTCGTCCCTTGTAGACAGTCACTGTGAGGGTCTCATTAATAGATTCTGGGGTAAAGTTACTGCCCTGGCTTCAGATGGCCAGCTATTTTGGCTTCTTTTTGTTGCTGGTCTTTATAATCTAGTTTAAATTGTTTATGTGGTTACCTCTTCGTGTGCTGTGTTGTTTGCATTTAATGCACGTGCGGTAAGTGTGTGAGTGGGAATGTGCCTGGGGTGAATGTGACTGATGTAAAAATGTCTGTTGTGTTTATATCTTATGGGAGAAACTGTGCACCATGTGTGCTTTGGTGTGGGAATGAAGGGAACAAAGCCTTTATATTCTCGATCAAAATGCTTGTAGAGTAGCTTGGTAGAAATGGTAATGCTTAAGTTTCGGAAGCCTCCACCCCGAATAGATATATACCCACGTTCCCACACATGTGTATGATTAACTGCATTGTTCACACTTTTGGAAAAACTTGATGAAGATTCCACTTAAGTGACACCTTCAGTTATCAGCTTAAGTTGGTCTATAAAGTACACACTCTCAATGTTTATTTACTTTGGCATTTGAATTAGTATTTATGGTAAATGCTACTTGTTTTTCGAGCAGTTATTGACCCTCTGCTGTATGATAGGTGTTACAGAGGAGGACAAGAGAAGCTCAGGCTCTCCAGGAGCTTTATTCACGTCACATGAACTCCATGTCATAGAGAGCTGAGTGAAGTTCTGAACCGCACTCAGCATGACCTCCGTCCAGACTTGATTGTCATTTACACCTTCAGCCATTTAGTAGACTTATGTGGAATAGCTCGTATATTTCTGGCCTGGTGTTAATCTCTGGATGTACTGATGAGTGAGCAAGAGTAGACATGATGCCTGCCTTTATGGAACTGATGTAGTAGCTGATAATTTAGACCCTGTAGTTTGACCACTTCTTTGAGTAGCTGTGTACTGAAAACCATCTAATTAGGGAAATAAGAGGTAGTTTGGGACCCCAACCCATCTAGAACAGACTTACTGTGGAAGTATAGCTATATATTTTTTCTTCTACGTTGTGTGTGCATATATCTGAATGTGTCCATGTTGCTATTCTATGAATATTTAAAAGTAATTCTAGGAAAGTTGTCTTATTAATTAATGGTTGCTAAATTAATTTCAAACTAGATTTAACCTTAGTGAGCTTTGTAAATGCTTTGGTTAATTTTGGTAATAATCAACACTAGATTGGGGGTGTTGGGTGTTATTTTTTATTGGTTACAGAGGTATATGTAATACTTTCGTCTCAAAAAAAAAAAAGACTGCTTGCAGAATCTTGCCTTTTTGTTGTTTTATTTCTTAGTGTAGCGCTTAAACATGTAGCTTTTTGCTTTGAGTTAGGTTAGATTTTGACCTTGAATCTATTTTTAATTCCTAGATTTAAGTGAGTGGTACTGCAAGAAGTCCATCCTGGCTCTTGTGGACGGACAGCCATGGGACATGTACAAGCCTTTGACCAAGTCCTGTGAAATTAAATTTCTTACTTTCAAAGACCGTGATCCAGGGGAAGTTAATAAGGTACTTGTGTCTCCATGTTTTCTCTCCCTCTCCCTCACTCCCAGTGTTTTCCTTCTTTTTATTAACATTTATTTTCTCTGGAGTATGAACTGTGCAAATATACAAATAGCCAAGGTGAAATACACTATACTAGATTGTGTTTTTCTTGTTAGATTAGGCATCTTCATTGTTCAAATAATAAGTACTAGCATCCATTTCTCTGTATTTTGGTTTCAGAAAACGATATGGCATGCCTTGTACATTTATATCTTCGTTCAACTGACACTTATTGATCACCCTCTATGTTAGTGATTTCATTCCCACAGCTACTCATGGAATTCAGCCTTGGACCATCTTCTCTGGATTATTAAACTTTTTAAACTCTCTCTGCCCCCCCCCCCCTTTTCAAATACTAAAGTCTTCCTTAATAGTCCTGTAAGAGTTTTATTAAGTGACATGACCCTTAGTCATGTCATTTACCCCTAAGGAACTCGCCTGCATGATAACCGTTTTTGTACCTTTCCAGGACGTGTGTGATCTGACTCCAGCCTGCACCTGAGCCTCACGTCCCACTGCACCTTCCCACTTCCACTTTCCTCACGCCACATTGAAAGGCCTGGGCACAAACGGTTTATCCTGTCTTACCCTACTTGCTTGTGCTGCTGCTCTTCCTTCAATTCTGTGTATTTTCTTTCTTCCTGATTAAAATCCTATTTGTCTTTTATAGTTCAATTAAAATGCCATCTGCTCTGTAGAGCCTTCTTAGTGTCCTCTTGTCGAAATGAATAACTCTCTTCTCTAGGGCCTCAGAACACTGACTGATGTCTTTAGATACAGTATTTTGGTTTAAATTCTAGATACAATGTTGAATTTCAATTTAATTTTTAATATTTAATTTGACTCTGTGAGGACAGGGATCAGGTCCCTTAGGGGACCCTGTCCTTAACTGGCATGCAGTAGGTATTTAATAATATTTGTTGAGATGAAATACTTAAATAAGAAAATGATAGACGAGAGATTGGGTTGACTGAAAAGTCCATATAGTTTTTTTCCATAAAATGTCAAAATTTTTATTTTCACCAATAACTTTATTGATTTGGATATTTTGAGTATGTTGGCTATTTGCCATGTGGTGTAATGTTGGTTGTTCTCAGTTAATGTCTCGATTCGATCAGTCTCAACTTTAACTTGTCTACCTGACTGTGGAGCATCGCCCAGCGAGAACTCTCCATCACGAAACTTCACAAACCACTTTTGACACGTTAGATCAGTCAGTACCTTCTCCATACATTGCACAAATTTCTTTTTGCATTTCAGTTGCGTTTTTGCCTTTCTCGAGATAAGGGAGTATAATATGCCAGAAATATCGCTTATCTTCTTCCATCTTTAATATTAAAATGGCTGCATGAAAATTCACCAATTTTGGTGTTTTTTTAAATGCATGCTGATATTGACAGCTGTCACAATAGAATCTAACAAAATTGTATCAAATGAAGTTAAAGATAACTAAGCACTACTAGAGGCATCATAAGGAAAAAAATTAAACAAACTTTTTGGCCAACCCAATAGTAGTAATAGCCACCATTGAATATTTATTAGGTGTCAGACACTGTTATAGGTGATGTATAGGTGTTAACTCATTTAACCATCGTAAAAATAAAATAGGTGCTGTTATCTTTATTTTCCAGATAAATAAACAAGCAAAGAGAGATTTACTCCTTGACCAAGGTTACTAGTTTAGGAAGTGGCAGGGCCTGGATTTGAATACAGGCATCTGTCTCTGGAGTTCCAGAGACATTTCAAGCACTTGTGTAGGACAGATGAAGAAGTACGTTTTGCTACTTGCTTGTAAGGCCTGTGTTTAAACTTATTTTTAGTGCATGTAAGTAATGTGGTGGTGCAGAGTGTATCCTGGAACAGCACGCCACATGCAACCAAGTGAGCCCACTCTTGTCCTCGGATGTGGAGAAGAGCTGATAAAAGCCCAGGTATAGTGTTGCTAGAGTGCGACATAAGGTGGACAGGTATGCGCAGGACGGTGTTTCTCGGTGACTCTGAGAAAGTCATTGCACGGATGCCTGTATCAGGCACGTCTGTGAATCAAAGTGTGCCACTAAAGTGAGAGCCTGGGAGATGGGGGGGCTGCTTTGCTCTAAATATGTTTAACTGGAGTCATGGATATGCTGTCAGGTATAGGATAGGAGTCATAAATAGTTCTTGAAAGTTGAGTTTTCCTTCCATATTTGTGTGTGTACAGACAGATACATATGAATATTTTACTGCGGCACATGTTTATTAACAAGTTAACTTTAACCTGGGTTAAAGGTACTGCCAGACAATAAAACTGTTGATTTACAAACGTCATGGTGTCTGATACCTTGCACGGAAGCATTGCCAACACCACGGCGATGGTGGTGTTTCATTCGGTCCAGGCAGTGGCCCGGCCTGATGGTCACTGTTGGTGCGTGCTGAGGATGGACGGACCACTGGGAAATCCTTCCTAAGTCAAAGTCAGCCTCAGCTTTACTGTTGAATAGGCTTCATTGAATCTTAGTGTGTATGTTTGTGTCTGTTTTCTTTTTCTAGGCTTACTGGCGTTCTTGTGCCATGATGATGGGCTGTGTGCTGGAGAGGGCGTTCAGAGATGACTACGTGGTCAGTTTGGTCAGAGCTCCAGAAGTTCCGGGTAATGCGTGCGCACGTGCGCGCGAGCACACACACACACACACACACACACACACACACACATAAATGTACTTTTTATAATCTTTGGATGTTTTGATACCTATTTTTAGTGTTGTATAGAGTTCATTGCTAATTTAATCTAGTATAAATTACCATCACACATACATTCCATTTATCGTGGGTACCAAAATCCATCTTATTCAATTATGGATGTCAATAATTAATGTCATAGAATTAGAGGAGAATGTGAAGTTCATGTAATTACATTGTCTTACTGTTTATTTTTACTACTTGAAGCATTTATTTCCAAATTGAATATGTGGAGGATGAGGAAATAGGAGTATAAATAGACTCCTGGACAAAGCTGTACTTAGGTTGTATTATTCACCAGAAGTGGTCACGACTCTGGAGAGGGACGTCATTTTGGGGAAATGAAAGAGTTCATATTTTTGGTAATTTTGCTAAAACTAGGATTTTACAACAGTGTAGTAGGATCACATTTGTATTTAAAAAATGTAGAATATGAAGACACAAGAGTGTGGCGTGATCACAAGGAAGCAAAGAAAAACAAGGACATATGTGACCATGAAGGAAATGCTTAGTCTGGGAGATTGGAGGCTTGAAGAAAAGGATAGATTCGGACCTAAAAAGAAAGAAAAGAAAGATCCTAGTGCACTCAAGGAAAGAGAAGTCCCCCAATAGTTTTCCTGCTTATTCTTCCAATACAACACACAACGGGGCCCACCTTACCACATCCTAGTTGATACCAGCTTTATCCACTTCTCCATCAAGGCTAAACTGGACTTAGTGCAGTCAGTGCCAAGTATATACCTTGTATAACCAACTGTGCAGTGGCTGAAATTGAGAAATTGGGGCAGAAGTATTGAGTGACTCTAAGGATGGCCAAAGATCTAAGATTTGAACAATTACCATGCTCACACAAAGGAACCTATGCAGATGACTGTTTAGTACCGAGAGTAACTCAGCACAAGTGTTACGCTGTGACTGCAGTTGGCCGGGACCTTAAAGGGAGAATCAGGAAGATCCCTGGGGTTCCCATCGTGTACATTTCTGATCACAGGTACAGCACTGAGCGGATGCCAGGTGATTGTGGGGCCCCTCGGTTCTAGTGCTTACAGGATGAAGTTCCTCTGCTTTCCTTCAACTAACTTTCTCTGTTGCCAGTTTATTAAACGCGCTACAGAATGAGTTGTAATTGCTCCACTCACCCACTTGCTCTGTTATGTGCTAAGTAGGATTAAATACACTCACTTTTTGATGATGCTTTGAAAATGATACTTCCTATCATTTTAATATTTGTTACATCTTTTTTTTTTTAAGATTTTATTTCTTTATCTTTAGAGAGGAAGGGAAGGAGAGAGGGAGAGAATTATCAATGTACGGTTGCCTCTCGTGTGTCCCCTGCCGGGAACTGGCCTGCAACCCAGGCATGTGCCCTGACTAGGAATCGAACTGTGACCCCTTGATTTGCAGGCCTGTGCTCAATCCACTGAGCTACACCGGCCAGGGCCCATCTTTTTATAAATCAGATGACTGCTCATTAGAAATGTAGAATATGTACAACCAAAATATTTGAAAAGCTTCATGAAGGATTTTAAGAACAAAACAACAAAAATAAACACATACAGGAAATACCAAAAAAAAAAAAACCCCTCAGTTTCATGTCCATTTAGTCATTTATCTCCTTATTAAGTAGTTTGTCCTGTTGGGATTTCTATATGTGGTGACTATCTGCTGTCTTTAGAGTGATGACATTTCTGAGGAAAACTTGAACAGTTCAGAAATACTGGCGATTTTGTGTTAATGATAGTGGGTGAGGGTTTTGGGTGGGGAGCGTAGGTAGAGCTCTGGCGAGCTCCTGGGACACTGGAAGCATTTTTATAATTTGTAGAATTGGGAGAGACCGCTGACCCTCATTCTATGGTTAAAATACTCAGTTGTTGGTACTTCCGCCAAGATGGAGGTTTAAGGTAGATGTGCCTGCCTCCTCACACAACCAAGTTTAGGGACAACTAAATATTAGCATCAGAAAACACAACCAGAACACGGAAAACTGAACTTTTCGGAAGTCCGCTAACAACAAATTCTTCGGCCCGACCGGTAAGGGGCGAAACCGGCGTCCGGTGAGGAGTTACAAAGGAGTCGACCCGGGCGTGGAATCCAGACGCGCGAATCCAGTCCCACGGGTTCCAAACCCAGGATTGGACCTAGTGAGCTACCGAGCGGCCCACCGGGTGAGCGACTACGGAGGAGTCAGTGGGGAGGCGGTGGCAGCGAGTTGACTGAGGTTGCACGGTTGCACGCGGGTGAGGGAGTGAGCGCTTGGACCGGCGGCGGTGGCGGCGCCATTTCCCCGCTCTGACCACGCCCCCACATACAGCGTCACAACCCAGCGACCTGGGAATCCAAGGCGCCGCTCCTCCCACTTAAAGGGCCAGAACAGACCAAAATGTCGCAGGAAGACCTCAAAGCCCCAGAGATAAATCTAAGTGACGAAGAAATAGCAAATCTCTCAGACGCACAGTTTAAAACACTGGTCATCAGCTTCCTCACAGATCTGGTGGACTATAGCCACAAATTAGAGAAACATATGAAGGCTAAATTAAGGGAAATGAATGGAATTCCACAGGAAACCCATAGAGATGAAAAAAAAACTGGGACTCAATTCAATGGAGTGGACCAGAAGGAAGAAAAAAATGATCAAACAGAAAGGAATGAAGAAATAAGAATTCAGAAAAATGAGGAGAAGCTTAGGAACCTCCAGGACATCTATAAACGCTCCAATATCCGAATTATAGGGGTACCAGAAGGGGGAAAGACACAACCACCAGTGGAAAAACTATTTGAACAAATAATAAAAGAAAATTTCCCCAATCTGGCAAAGGAAATAGACTTCCAAGAAATCCAAGAAGCTCAGAGAGTACCAAAAAAGTTGGACTCAAGAAGGAACACACCAAGGCACATCATAATTACATTAGCCAAAATTAAAATGAAGGAAAGAATCCTGGAAGCAGCAAGAGGTAAGGGGACAATCACCTACAAAGGAGTCCCCATCAGGCTGTCAGCAGATTTCTCAAAAGAGACCTTACAGGCAAGAAGGGGCTGGAAAGAAATATTCCAAGTCATGAAATCTAAAGACCTACAACCAAGATTGCTCTACCCAGCAAAACTTTCATTTAGGACGGAAGGACAGATAAGACCAAATTCAAGGAGTTCATCATCACCAAGCCCTTATTATATGAAATGTTAAAGGGACTTATCTAAGAAAAAGAAGTTAAAGAAACATGAACAGTGCAAGGACAACAAACTCACAGTTATTAACAACCACACCTAAAACGAAAGCAAACTAAAAGGACAGCTAGATCAGGAGTGGAAACATAGAAATGAAGATCTCAAGGAGGGTTAGCAACAGGGGAGTGGGAGGAGGAGACGGGGGGAGAAGGTACAGAAAACAAGTAGCATAGACAGTAGATAGAAAATAGATGGGGGGGCAAGAATAGTATGGGAAATATAGAACCTAAAGGACTTGAGACACATGGACATAAACTAAAGGGGGGGAATGGTGGGGGTGGGGGGGCAGGGTGGAGGGGAATGAAGGGGGGAATAGAACAACTGTAACAGCATAATTAATTTAAAAAAAATAAATTTATTAAAAAAAATACTCAGTTGTTGCTAATTGGTAACTTTCTGGCCTTACAGACTGGACTTTGATTTTTATTTTGGTTGGATTTACAGTAATCGCTGGAGCCTTCTGCTATGACGTGGTTTTGGATCAGAGACTTGATGAGTGGATGCCAACAAAAGTAAGTAAACTCTCCAGAGTATTAATTCTAGAGTCTGATTTTCTTTGGTAGAACAATTCCTATGTTGGTGTTACTGAATGGTGCTGCATGTGGGGGATATTTAAAAGAATCTGTTTGTCTGCCTATGTTGTTGCTTTTTCAGTGTGTTTAAGATAGAGACGTGAGTGAAGGCACTCACAAGAGCACGGTCAGTTGAATGCAAGGGTGATGTCCTGCTTGACCTTCTCTCCTTCTGCCTTGTACTGGTCCTTCTGTTCCTTAAGAGAGTGGTTTTCACTATGGCCAGAATATAAAACAGAAGCATAACTTGGTTGATGTTGTGGTGGGGGCCTAGAGCCTTAAACTTGGATCCCCAGAGTACAGTCTGAACACTATTGCCCAACCCTTTAGCCCGCTGCACACTAAGATCCCCCTGTGTGCAAGGGTCACATTGAGTGTGGGGGGGGGGACCTGAATCAGATTTTGACAAAGCTAACCCCAACGGCAACAAACTAAATAGCAGAAAAATAGACTCCTTGTGGATGGTCTCCCTTTGTAGTGCGGTGCTCCTTGTTGTTGGGACTTGGGTAGCAACAAGGCCTGGCTAACAAGGACGGCCAAGTTCAGGTGCTGTGGTGGTGGTGGGGGTGCCGATGGCTTTTAGAACTCGAGACTCAGTTATGATTGGGAAGAAGAGGCAAATGCCTAAATCTTAACGAAGCAACAGTGAACGTCCTAAGATTGGGGGTCTGGCAGTCAGAAAAGGGGAGGTGGTGCAGCACCGAACCGATGATCGGTTCCACTGTGTACGTTCTTCACATTTTAGTGTCTGTGAACATAAATGTTTCTTACGGTAGTTGGCCTCTTATGATTATAATTGGTAGTATTTTTTCCTTAGTGGAACATCTCAGATTTAGTGACGTATTGTTATTCCTAAAAGCAAGACTGTAAAGCAGATCTAGGTCAAATTTTGGCTGTGGAAGTTATTTTTTTTGTAATCACATCCATATTACTTAATACTGAGAGGGAAGGAGGAGGGAGACAGGCAGGGAGACAGAAAGGGAGGAGAGGTGGGGTGAGGGGTGAGGAGGAAGTGCAGGGAAGGAATGGGAACCTTTTCTTCGTAATGCTCGCGTTTGTGTCAGGGCACCTTCTTCCTTTGCAACTGTGCCCCAGATTTAAGAAGAGATCCTCTGTTGGAGGGATTAAGTGAAAACTAGTAAGATAAGATGCAACTCTCGTTACTGATGCATCTTGCTCCCTCCTTTTCCTTTTTTTGAAGATAAAACTTTAAAAAAGAAATGCCCTAGACTAGATAATGTGCCCACGGGACTGGGTGGGCGGCTTAGAGAAAGGAGGGGAGAGTTAAATTCCAGCACAGCTGTGTTAAACCATGGATGTGGGTTTGTTGTACAGTCAATTACCCCTTCAAGAATGGAGAAGTTACTTCATGCAAAAAGAAGTCTAAAGATAGGAAGTTTATGGAAAGAACTTTATTATAAAAATCATTTGCTAACAGTGATTGATATTTTCCATATTAGTAATGACTTATAGTATGAAAAACCTAATTATAGTTTTTATTAAAAAGTTATAAAAATTGTTAATGTGTATTATTTATCATTTTAATTGTGTGAAGATGATATTTTCATTAAATAGAAATTTATAATATTGGAACAGGGCAATGATGACATTACATTTCCTAATGAAACTTTCTGAATCACTTAAACAGTGACTTTTTTTTCCCCACATGCATTTAAAAAGCTTAATTTTAGCCTTGGCTGGTATAGCTCAGTGGATTGAACACGGGCCTACAAACCAAAAGAAGGTTGCTGGTTCGATTCCCAGTCAGAGTACATGCCCAGGTTGCAGTCCAGGTCCCCAGTAGGGGGCGACCCCAGTAGAGGCAACCACATATGGATGTTCCTCTCTTCTCTTCCCCTCTCTCTAAAAATAAATTAAAAATCTTTAAAAAGATAAAAAGTGTTATTTTACTCAGTGTAAATAATTTTTGTATCTTATTATTAGCATTTCTGCTTGTTATGTCATTTTAGTAAATATATATAAGGTTGTATAATTTGAATGAAATACTAAAATTTCTTTGTGGGGTTAATAATTATTATCAATTAGTTATTAATGCAGGCTGATATTTTAATTACAAGTAAATTGCAAGTTTTATAGTTTGTAGAGTTGGGAGGCATTGCTAACCTTATAGTTAGTGGCCCAAATATTTAATTACTGCAAATTAATAACATTCTTTTCTGACAAGTTTGCTTTGCTTATATTTTAGATTTATAATATTAAGCATATAAATTGCCTTATCAGCGTTAATGTTGAAATACTTTTAAGTAAATTGTTATAAATATTAATACTTTTCATTTTTAAGGAGAACCTGCGTTCTTTCACAAAAGATGCTTATGTTTTAATTTATAAAGATCTTCCATTTGAAACTCTGGATGTTGATGCAAAAGTGGCATTAGAAATATTTCAACACAACAAGTAAGTGTTGGCTTCCTTTAAAGCAAGATTAAATCTCCCAAAGTTACATGTAATGAAGAAAATTCAGTTCTTTTTTTTTAAACATTTAACTTTTATTGTATTTTTTTCCCATTACCAGAAAATTCAGCTCTTAAGAATTTTTATATTCTGCCCTGACTGGTGTAGCTCAGTAGGTTGGGCATTGTTCTGCAAACCAAGAGGTCTTTGGTTCGACCAGCACATGCCTGGGTTGTGGACGGGTTGAGGGCATGTGAGAAGCATCCTACCATGTCAATGTTTTTCTCCCTCTCTTTCTCCCCCCTTCCCCTCTCTCTAAAAATAAGGAAATAAAATCTTAAAAAAAGAATTTTTTATATTCTTAAAAGCAGAACATAAAATTTAAGAAAAATGTCTTAAGTAAAAGCAAATTTAGTTGGAAAAAACTAAAAAATAAAAATTGAGCTTATAACAGATATATTTTATAATAGATATGTTCTCTGGTTAGTTCCTGAAAACCTCCTTAACTGATACTCTGGCTTGGCATCTTTCAAAACGGTTTGCCTCCGGAATGTTCTTCCACATGTTATTAATTAATATGCTGAAAAACATGTACTGCATTTGACTGAATTTGGAGAATGGCAGCATAAAAAAATTTACCCCTGTTCACTCTGAAGCCTCCCAAAGTAGATACTGAAAACAATAATTTTCAAATGCATTAACCTGTGTAACTCTTTTTCTTGAAGCATATTTTTTTGTAGCATATCCTGGGACCAGCGTACTTAGAAACCAGTAGGAATAGACCATTTTAACTGAACTAGAGTGAAAGTAGAACTACAGAGTCAAACTGCCCCTGAGTCTTTAAGAAAACTCCTTGGATTATCAGAGCATGTCAGGTCACCATGCCAAAATTCTGGGGTCTGCTGTCCAATAGAAATACAATGTGAGCCATCTTTAAAATTTTTAGAGGCTACATTAAAAAATAAAAAGGGTGAAGTTAATTTTAACCATAGTTTTATTTAAACAGTATATTTTAAATGTTATAATTCCCACATTAAAAATGCTAATGATACTGGACAGTCTTCTGCTCGTACTAGGTCGTCAGAACGCGGTGTGTACTCCACCGCGGGCACGTTTCGGTCAGGACTCATTGCGTTTAAATGTTCCACAGCTACCATGTCGCACAGTGCTCCGGACTTTCTGCCGCGTGCACTGAGGTTTTTCTTTCTCATACTCAGTTGTCCAAGTCCAGCAGAGGCCTGTAGAACTTCAGTATCGTAGTTGAATGTGTGTGTGTGTGTGTGTGTGTGTGTGTGTGTGGTGGGCACGTGGTTCAGGGGTAAGTTTCAGGGCAAGGAAGAGTTTTGGGTGGTTCACAGAGGATCTGTGGTCAGGCCTTGGTTTCGGCTCTTAGAGGTGGGTCAGGAGTTGTAAGTGTTTAGGGGAACCGCCTCCCTCAGTGATGCTTGGGGCCTGGTGTGCGGGGGCTCTGGCAAAAGGGGTGTGGCAGTAAGCGGGTGTTCTCGCATGAGTTAGCATTTCCCAGCCTTGCCAGGTGCTCACGTAATATATGTTTACTGCTCTGGTTTGAATAGACAAGGCTCTGGGTAGTAAGTGGTGGAGTCAGGATTTGAACCTGGGCTGTGCGGTTCCGTCTCTGCTGTTAGCTATGCTGACAAAATGGGGCAGTTTTGGGAAACATTCAGGCAGAATTGGCATAACTTGGTATGAACTGCATGTGGAGGGTGTGGTAGGAGAAGCAGGGATTAGGGAAATCTCCCAAGTTCTTTACTTGGACACGTGGGTGTTTGGTGGTATCATGTACAAAGCCAGGGACATGAGAACTAAGCTCTTTCATTCCTAAGCTAGGAGTAAGAACAAGTTTGGTGGGGAAAGGGAGGTAACTTTTTGTTCCCTTGGAGAATTTGGGAGTTCAAAGTGCTTGTGGAACACCCTCGTGGATGTCTGGCAGGGTCTTGGATACACAGTTGGGGGCTCCGCAGAGGTATGTGGGTTAGAAGCGGAGATGTGGAGGATGCACAGGTGTGAGTGGTGATTCAGGCTGTGCAAACCTAGGAGCTGGCCCAGGGAGGGTGCGCAGAGTGGAAGGAGGGTCTCAGACACAGTCCTTGAAAGGCAGGAAAAGTGGAGAGTGGCCAGAGAGCTGAAATAGTAAGCATTTGGGGAAGTGGAGGTGAGCGGTGCTGAGGGAAGAAAATGAGGACCCAGAGTGTCCGTCAGGGTGGTCCCTGGGAGGCTCCTGTGGCTTTGGTGAGACACTGTGGAGTCCTGAGGCGGGTGGGCGGGAGGTGAGGAAGGGCGGACTCCACATGTGAGCCGTCCTTTCCAAAACTGTGACTGTAACAGGGAGAGACAGGTTCCTTTAAACATCTTTTTGTATATTTTATGATTAAAATTTGTTTCTTTGCTGTGCTTTTTAGGTATAAAATAGATCTCATAGAAGAGAGGGCATCTCAGAACCCTGAGAGAATAGTCACGCTGCACAGGTAAGTGAAAATAAAAAAGTTGGCTGCTATGCTAATTTGTAGTAAGGCGTGGCTTTATTATGGTTACTATATTATATCATTATATGTAGTATACAACTAAAAAAGATGAACTCGTATCTTTTTTTGTTACTCTCATTGCCGTATTTTCTGTTGGTTGGTTTGGGGTTTTCATAAGTAGTCGTTGGAAGCCTTAAATTACCTTTAGGAACGTAGTGGTTTCGGTTGCTCATTTTACTGTTACTTTTATTTCTGCATTTCAGGGGTAGAAAACCATTGTTTAAAAGTGTAATTTTTAAGAGATAATTTTAAAGTTGAGAAAATATTCATTATTATGAATTGCACGCGGTAAGTCGTGTGTTTACAGAAATACGCATTCTGACTGATTAGTTACTGCTGATAAGTACCTGTAGGTAAGTTAAACTGGAGTGTGCTTTCCGATGCAAGGACGAGAGAGGTGAGACAGTGCATCATGCGCAGTTGACTTTGTGGTCTGTAACTGTTTGCTCAGCTTCGTGTTCGGCTGATTTGGACTGAACTTGTTTCCTCTCGAAAACTGCTCTGTTTCTGGACACGATCTGTCGCCATGCACACTGAATTCTGAACTCTGTGCAGTGACTTGTAACGTTGTAGGTTGTCGGTTTTAGACAGTGGATCCATGTGATGATGTGATTGTTCACTGATCTTAAAAACTTTAATTGTATCATCGATGCTAATTTAGAAAAAGATTCACTCAAGTTCAGTTGTCAAAAGTCTAGCCCCTCACTTCAGATTTCTGTGTCATGGCTGTTGGAGATGGCACCGAGACACGCAGGATGTTCTTGATTAGAGATGTAGCAGCAAAGAGAACAAATAGATTCTTTAGCCCCAGTGTATAGCACATGATTTGATGTTCAGGTTTTAATGGTTGGTTTTCAAAATCAAACCAGGTTCGGTGATTTCATCGATGTGACGGAGGGCCCTCTTATTCCAAGAACCAGTGTTTGTTCCCAGTACGCAGTGTCGGCAGCTCACGGTCGCCAGGCCCCCCACTCCCGTCTCGTGCGAAGGTTTCAGGGCCTCTCTTTGCCTGTTCACTTAAGAGTAAGTAAAGTTCAAGTTTCGGGCCATTCTGTTTGGGTGTGGCATGAGTTTAGTCTCGATTTATACCAATTTAAAGGGCATAACATTTTAATTTTCATTAAGTTGTGACTAGTGTTTTATGAGTTCAGGTGTATGATTTAAAAAGAGTTATTCCCAGGATGTAACCAGGTAATTCATAGAAGAAACATTAGTTGAAAAACTTAAATCACATTGAGATAGAGTTTAACTTTTCAGATTAGTACAGGAGAGGGTGCGTTGCTCAGACCTGTGGGAATGCCTTCCTTTTGGCCTGCTCGTCTCCCTAAATTTGATGGACTGGTCCTGACTCAGGGCCTGTCATGCTCCGTATTGATCTTACCCTTCTAATTCTCTTCTGTTTTTAATTAAACTTTTGCCAAACTTAAATGCCAAATGAAACATCTGCTCTATGTGCTACCTCTTTTCCTAGTCTAATCCACGTTTGTGAGCTTTTCGCCTCGTTTAAGTACTGCCCAACTGACTTAAGTCTTTGTTTTGTTTAAAACCTGTATAAAGACTTAGCTGCTTTTATTTTAACTTCATTGATTTATTTAATTCATATTAAATCTCTTCTCAAGGCGCATGTTACGATATGGAATAAGCTATTGGAAAGGTCTCAGAAATTGGTAAGTGTTTTCAACAGCTAATGAGTACTCTTCTACAAAGAAGTATTCATTGAAATTAAGCAACAACAACAAAAAAAAGAAAAGGAAAGGGAAGAACAGTTATCTGTTCTTTCAATAGACTAGTTTAGTTGTCTCAACAGCAAAAGCAGTTTTGTGATTGTTTACCCCAGTAATATTGTGGCAAGAGAAAAATTAAGTTTGTAATTCTCTTTTGATTTTATTTGTTAATCTTATGGTAATGATACCATAGAACTTGAAGAGCAATAAGAATATTACTATATAGTAGTAATATTTTTGGAGGTGGTAATTGTGTTAATTAGGTGTCGTGATACTTTTCTTGTGTACTTAATGAACGTTTTAAAGATTAAGACTTGTCAGATATATTTTAAATCTTCCTTGACTGTTGACATATTAAACGCACACATGTCCTGAAAAATCAGCTTTAAACACTTCTGCTTTTGTAGTTTACATTGTCATTTGCATTTAGATTTTGTTAGTAGGAATGATTATATTTCTTGACCACAGTTCCCCCTATTCGCCCTTCCATGGGTCCGGTGTTCATCTTTCGCTGCAGTGACCCAATAGCTGTGCCGCGTGACCCGGCCTCACGAGCCCTTCCCAGCTCCCCTGATTTTCCACTCTGACCCGGCTCCCAGGCTCGCTGCTCAGCACACAGCAAACTGGTTTTCACGTCTGTTTCTTAATGACCGTTCCTCCGTCTGGATTCCATTTCCCATTCTCGCCTCTCTTTACGTCCTGCTCATTCTTTAGTACTTCACCCAAGTCTCACCTTCTCCCTGACCCACTCTGAGGAGTTGCTATCGAATATCTGATTCATGCAATTTCTGCATGATTCTATACCTCCTCACACTATTTTCTGTTTGTTTTTGCTATTACATTTGCATTCAGTTCATTAACCCACATAGGGCTTGTTATAGTCCCATGACCCCAAATTTTGAACCTGACACTTGGCACACAGGGTGGGGGGTTACCTAGTAAATATTTATTGATTATGTTTATGACAATGTTTATACCCAGTCTATATTAATGACTTTACAGGTGGAAATTTATTGTTTACGTACTACTTAGCCATAATAGTCTTGTGTAAAGTTTATGTAATTTTTTTCATGATAGGAAAGTTTATTTGAATAAATGGAATAACTTTCTTTGGTAATAATCATTTTAGAAGAAGAAACTAGAGAGAAAATTAGTGTAAATTAGGGTAAGCTCAAGAAGTGAAAACTTTAAAGCAAGGAAAAATGCAGAAAAATAGCAGAGACAGTGACTCAGAGTACCTAGTAGAAGTCAGTGAGTAGCTGTTTTTGAAAGATTAGTTGTGGCTCAGGTTTCTTCTTCCACTGCCCATGTTGCTCTCTAAGGAGAGGAGGTTATACATATGGTCCATTGATGCAACTAACACAGACTTACTGAGTGTTTTGTGCCCGACCCTGATGCAGAAATGAACAAAGCCTGCCGACCTCCAGGAAGTGGCTTTAATGGGGTAGCTGGACACAGCACACGGTCAGGTTTGCATGTGGGTGGGGCTCTGGCACCCACACGCAGAGGAGGAGGGCTCAGCCAGGGAGAAGGTTCCCAGGGATCGATGCCTTCTACTTGAGCTGCTTTTAAAGGATGAATAAAAGGGGCCAAGCAGGTAGTTTGCTGGGGGACAGGTTGGGAGTTATCTCAGGAGAATCTCCTTGTGGAGAGGCCCGGAGGAAAGGAGAGCATGTGAATGTCAGGTGACTGAATGTTTGGTCACGTGGAGGGTGGGTGATGAGTCCAAAGAAGTTCGTTGTGAACAGTGTGAAAGGCTCACCGTCCATAATGTAGAATTTGCAGTGCCTTCCTGAAGGTGGTTGGGGGTAACTGGAGAATTTTAAAAAGAAAATGACCTGCTGGGTGCTATTTCTGTTTAAAAGCTCGTTTTGGGTCAGTGGGGATGATAGCTGCAAGTGAAGCCAGCCCTCTTGTTAGGGGTAGAGAAGGTGATGGCTTTCTAAGGTTCGGGCGTGGCGGTGAGAGTGGCTGTGCTCGAGTGTGCAGGGGAGAGGACGGCCGGGCGAGCCCCGCACTGAAGTGAGGGTGCAGGAGGTGGAGCAGGTCTCGGGGTGATGAGGAAGACAGGTTCGCCCCGTTTCTTTGATGCGTCTGAGTGACATAGAATAGAAGTACAGCAGTTTGTGTCGTTCATTTAACCTTGTTTCATAACATGGATGAGATGCTGAAGGAACTTAACTGTTTCTTCCTATGTGCTTTGGCTTAAAGTCACAGAACCTACTGACGATATTAAGTGAGGACTTACTGTATGGACATACAGATGCCTGTTCGTATTACACCCGTAATAAACTGTGTTCAAAACAGAATTTTACCGCCCAACAAAATGGATTTAAAGTATCTGTTGCAGCACTGCTGGTAGTTTCTTTACACCAATGATTCATTTTACAGATGAAACATAAAATAACAAACTGGAGAAACCTAGATATGTGCCTCAGGTTATATTTTGAATGGAATTGTACTTGATAGTTTAGATTGGAAACTTGGCCTTGTATGTTTTCTTTTCTTCCTACTTTGCTTTCTGTAATACTTATTATTGAAGGAGAAAGACAAAGGTCATCGTAAGAGATGGACTGTGGAATGGTTTTAAGTGATGGGTAAAGAATAAAAATAAGTGTTTATTAGAAAAGTAAAGCTATTCATATTTTTACAGGTAACTGAAGATCAAATTACACCTACAGAGGAAAGTTCATCTACCTAGTAACTCCGTAAAATTTATATGTATATAGTGAATGAAAATAAAAGTTTTTTATGTAATGTTTGTGTGTGCTTATAAAGATTAACTGTCTTCTCTGAGATATATACTGATGTTTACTTCCCCCCTTAAAGGATGAAACGACTTACGCTGTTCACAGTAAAAATTTCACACAGAAATAAGCCTGTCCTCTTACACTCCCCAGATGTAACACCCTTTGGTGTTTTCCCCTTGTAGTCTTTTCTGCACATTTAAACTTACACGTACGAATACCAATGTACTCTTTTAAAAACATAAATAGGATCAACTAGTTTGAGTTTTTCATTATTTTAAAGTGGTGCAGTAAACATCCTTGTGCAAAATGGCAAGTGTTTTATGTATAGACAGATCAACTGAGTATTTACTGAGTTGACTATTTCTTACACACTGGCCATTTCTCATAGAACCTTTTCATTTAACCCTCACAAGCAGCCTGTTGAGAAGGTGTTTCCATGTGGTAACGAAGAAACTGAAGGAGCCGGATGTCAAGTCGCAAAGCCGAAACTGGGAGCCGGGTGATTTCGCTCACGGGCTTTCCCAGGTGCCCCCCTGCGCTGCCCACACGTCAGGACATCTGTAGGAAGGGGTTTCTGGTCCTGGAGTTATTGGTGGATGCCACCTGGTCCTTGCCTCTGAATGACAGTCCCAACAACAGCATCTGAGAGTTCCTGCTTCCCCATTCCTTGGGCAAGTCTTGATTATCAGCCTTTTAAAAATATTTTGCCAAATTTTTTTCCCATTCTAGTCTGACCACTTTGGTTCCTGGGCTTGGTGCACGGGTTTCATCTGAAGAGATATTCCCTTTGTTGCTTGTGGATTCATACTTTGAAATTTTTTTTCCTTGAATATACCAAGAAGTACAGAAAATACTGTAACACCTATTTGGATGTTTTTCATACTTTTTGGTGACTTCCCCCACTGTATAGATCTTCGTTTCACTAAGTAGCAGAGAGAAACTTAATTTTCTAACTTTCTTTGGGACTTGGGCTCAGACAGCTAAGTCTCGCCTGTTAGACACTTCTGTGTGACATTTGGAAGTGACACCGTGAAAAGAGAGTGGCACATGGGATCCATATTGTTGAACAGCAACACGTGGCTTTCAGGGTGGTAGCGGGAGAGGTTCCCTGTCTCCATTTGGACTGTGGGGCTGGCCTTGCTCAGTAGCTTTTCCCCTGCAGTGGCTCTGTGGCGTAATGACGTTTGTCAGAGCTGTGCCACCTGATCTCAGTCTGAAACTTGTGAGCCATTTGTTTTTGGATCCTGTTATTTGCAACCAAGGATCCTGACATGCAGCCACCACCCCGGTTTAACCAGTTGTAACCTTTCCCCTTACTTCTGACCCTTTTGTTTTTAAGAAGAATGTACCTGTCCATAGAAAGTCTTCATGTCTTTTCCTTCCAAGAAGAAACTATCCTGTTAGTGCATATGCTTACCCATCATTTACCCTCCTGATTTACATTGTATACTATTCTATTCTATTTTATTTTATTTATTTATCTTTAGAGAGGAAGGAGAGAGGAAGAGAAATATCAATGCATGGTTGCCTCTCTTGGGTCCCCTGCTGA